ACAAAGATTCGTTCATTCTTTTAGTGTGTAGAATATAAAGTAAGTTTTGACTCACATCTCATTTTTTTTAATTTTTTATGTTTTATTATTTAAATTTACTTTCAATTTTCAAAAATAAAGGAATATTGTTACATTTTAAGGTGTAAAATAGATATGTATGTATTCATCTCGATTTGTACAGAAACCGATACTGAACCATACTGAAACATACCAAACTAATATTTCAAGATCGGAATCAATACTGTTTAAAATTTTCTACTAAACCAAAATATTTAGTACAATATCGATACGAGTTAAATATCACCCAACCAGATGGGAGGAAGTGTGTTGTAATTTGGGGGGCACATCTCATATTTACAACCATAATGAAAGCAAACTTGGTTTAGCCACGAAGTCAATAATTACAGCCGGGCGTGTTTGTTAAACTTTATATTACGGAGTATTCCTTATTAACCACACGATAAAAAAAGAGATGTTGACATTCTTTAAAAAGATTAAGATTAGGGATGACAATTCAACCCGAACCCGAGCTTAACCGACCACTAAAATATCCGAACCCGAACCGAGAATAAAATAATCCGAACCCGACCCGAAATTTTTTACCCGAACCCGACATCGGGTCGGGTCGGGTGTGGGTTTATTATTTTACCCGACCGACCCGAACCCGAACCCGACCCGACTCAAACCCGAATATTTTATAACATAAAAGTCTATCTATGGATATAATGAGCACTCCGTATAATCTCTTGACAAAGTGCTACTATATCAAGTATGCCTTTTATAATCATTTTTATAATTTCTTAATAAAAAAATGAGACACAAAAAAAAATTAGATGTAATCTTTTTAAAATTATTGGGGTACGCCGAATTGATTGTTAGTTAAAAGTCGGGTTCAGGTAGGGTTCGGGTAGGGTTCGGGTTTTTGGTTGGAATGTCGGGTTCGGGTCGGGTTCGGGTTTTTGCTTAAAAAGTCGGGTTTCGGGTCGGGTTCGGGTTTCGGTTTTTAAAGTCGGGTCGGGTTCGGATATAGTACAATCCGACCCGAACCCGACCCGTTGCCATCCCTAATTAAGATACTTAAAAAAAGAGAGAGTCTAATTTTCAAATATCTCTTAGAATTGTTATTTGATAAAAGGTAAATTGAATTTTAAACTCAAACTTGTTGCCTTGTTAACAAAGGATCGGATGAACCTGCTTACCTGCATCTCGTATTTACAAAGACTCTATATTTAAGATAGTTGTCTCTAGTAATTTTTATAAATAAGCTGGTAATTTTTATAAATAAGCTCAAAACTTACCTGTTAAAATACATAAGCTATTTTTGGAAAATAGCTTTTGAATAATTTTTTATATCTTTGACTAACTTTGACTTTTTTGACTAATCGAACAGCCAAAATAATTGTTTGGCTAATGGTTTTTTCACTCGGTATTTTGATTTGAAAAGTCAAAATCTGAAAAGCTAAGGGAGGTAGCTTTTGGACTTGGCTGTTAGAATTTAATTTTTTAAATCGTTTTTCTTGAAAAGATATTCTATAATATATGTAAACAAATAAAAAAATAAAAATTCAAAAATTCAAAACTAAGAAAAATAAAATTTAAAACTTAAAAATTTCAAAAAAAAAGAGATGAGAAAATCAAAAGTAAAAATCATTAAAAAGTTGTATATTAATAATTTCTTGTGAATTAATTGAAAGTAAAAGTTAATACTCCTTATTGTAAAGATTTAATTTTTACATGACAAAAAATGAAAAATAAATATCGTCTGTGTATATAAATGTACACACACAGATATATGTATATATACATATATACGGAGTATATCGAAACAACTATTTTCAAACAGTTAATTTTATCAAACATTTTTAACAATCAGTCAACTCATCCGACAAGTCAAACCTTGCTAAATAAAAGAGTCATTGATTACAGCTGACACGAACCACCCACAGCTTACATCGATAGCAGACAACCAACATCCACACAAGACAATAGGAGGATTAGCAGAAGTTAAAAAAAGTAACGATAAGAACTTTGGGCTGTATTAGATGGCACATATTGTCGTTATGTGTGTACGTGTCGTCCTAGCCATGGAGGGTGGGTCCCTTCCAGCAAACTGCCATCATGGATTTCAAAAAAAGAAAAAAAGAGAAAAAGAAAAAAATGGGATTTTTTTACGACTTTGTGGCTATCCTTGGCAAATGGCAGAGGAGAGTAGCTTCTCCGACATGCATGCTTGAACTTTGGGTAGACGTGAAAAATTGACAGCTCTTTGAGACTTGAAAAGTGGTGTGCTTGAAATTGTGGTACCAATGTTTGCATTTTCCACATTAAAAAAAGTAGTTTTCACCCAAAAATCTTACCCATTCTTTTCCATGTCATACCTACCTTACGTGTCTCATAAAAATTATCAACGTATACTTTTCACTTGTTAAATTATTTATTCTTAATTTAATGATTATTACAATGGTATGTAAATTTATATTTCATGAATTTTGTATTATATTTTTGCAAACGACCAGGGAGGACAATAGGTCGAGCAGAACTCCACCCTCATCCTTTATTCAACTCCACCCTCATCCTTTATTCAATTGATCCATCATCCATTATATACATCACTTACCATTCGATCGTTTCATCCCCATAGGTAAATAAGGCGAGACATGTGAAATAGATGATATTAGTAGTTTTTTAACCCGTAGGTGAAACAAAGCTTATGAACTAAGGTGCATAATGTAGAAAAATCTTACTCCATCCGTTCTCAAAAGTCAAAAATACTTCCTCTTTCATTTTTTTCACTTCCAACAAAAGACTTCCACTTTCTATTAAAGAACCACTTTACCCTTACTTTTTCATACCCTACTTATCACATCATACTTTATCATCCATCACATCTTACTTTTACCTATCACATCAAGGGCAAAATTGGAAGTCAACTGCAATTTAATACTACCTCCGTCCCAGAGTATTTGTCCACTTTCATTTTTACACATCATCCAATGCACTTCTTTAATCCATTTTATCTTGTAATTTGTATATTAAAAAAATATAAAAATTATATATTAATAATCTATATGTTAAGACAAATCAAACAAGATCACACATGACTATATTTAGGCTTACACATTGAGAGAATTTGATGAGTCAAAGTGCTTAAATGAACAGTTCCAAAAGTCAAAACTGGACGAATACTCCAGGACGGAGGGAGTACTTCCTTATTTTTACACAAAGTCAAAAGAGGAACACTTTTTCCAAACGGATGGAGTAGTAAATAAGCAACTAATGATGTTTATGATAAAATCTCGTTTTAAAACAATCTTCTAAGTTACAAACTAGACTTTTTATAAAGAAATATTTGCATTAAATAGCACTAAAACTTAAGTCATTTCTCTAAATACTTAAACTATTTTATTCCCTAAATAACACTTAATAATGAGCATAATGTCCAGTGATGGCGAACATTTACTTGAATAATGTAAAATGACTAAAAGTGCTACATTGGAAAAAAACACATGTGATGCTATTTAGGGAAAGTCATTATGTTTTAATGCTATTTACGTAAATTTCCCTTTTATAAAATTGAAACTTTGGACACTAGAACAAACTAATTCACTCAACAAAGCTAATTATTCTAATGGGTTGAGTAATGGGTAGTGAGAAAAGTATTTGGTTGATTATTTTCGCCTGAAGGACTTAGGAACTCTGAAATTCTTTCTTGGTATTGAAGTGGCTTGAAGTGCATATGGAATCTTTCTTTGTCAATGAAAGTATGCTCTAGATATTATTACTGAGGCGAGTCCGCTGGGTGCCAGATCGTCGGGAGCATTGATGGACCCAATTATCACTTGGCTCGTTCCTAAGCTTCGATTCTTGTTGACGCAGAACCTTATCATCGCCTAGTAGGGCGTCTTGTTTATTTATCTGTCACTTGCCCAGAGTTGTCTCATGTTGTGGATACTTTAACACAGTTCATGAAGGAACTACGAGAGGATCAATGGATTACTACCGTTGGTGTTTGTTAGAGTGTCATCCCACATCGGAAGTTCAAGAGCAGAATAATCGACATATAAACTCTTGAGTTGAACTAACTAATAGATTGGATTCAATCTTTTAATGTGGTTCAGCACAAGTGTCTTACTGCTCAGTCTAGTGGTCTCTATCCCATCCTAAATTCTATCATGGTATCGAAACAGGTTTTGGCCCACCTCATTTGTCAAGGTGTCCGTCTAGACGTTCATTCCTAATGGCCCGGTTGTCCACTTGAGGGGGAGTGTTAGAGTGTCATCCCACATCAGATCGGAAGTTCAAGAACAAAATAATCGATATATAAGCTCTTGAGTTGAACTAACTAATAGATTGGATTCAATTTTTTAATGTGGTTCAGTCCAAGTATCTTACTGCCCAGTCCAGGATGGTGTGACTTTGATTGGGCTGCCTGCCCTCTTATGAGGCATTTTTTAACTGGATGGTTTGTTCCACTCGGGACTTCACCTATTTCTTGGAAGACAAAGAAACAAAAGACAGTTGCATGATCTTCAGCTAAAGCTGAGTATGGGGCTCTAGCCGCTGTTACCTATGAGCTGAAGTGGTTAAAGAGTCTTTTGCGCTCCCTGGGGATTTTGCACACCAATCCTATGACTATTCATTGTGATAGCACAACTGCACTCTACATTGCAGCTAATCCAGTTTGTTACGTATCCTATGAATAGTACTTTACCCATCCAAATTTTAACTACTTCTCCAACTTGGAAAAACAACTTTTCAAATAATATTTGATATATTTGAATGACTTTGACATATTTTACTAATCGAATAGTCAAAATTATTATTTGGATAATAACTTTTTCACTGGGTTGCTTCTGGTCCCCAAATGTTCTTATTTTTCCATAAAGACCAGACTAGTCTATATGGATTTTTAAAAAAGACGGACCAATCCCGTCATCAGTATCGATCCGGTGTCAACTCTTGTGCTAGTCTTACTATAGGCGGTGACCACAGACAAATTTGAATTTGGCATGAATTTCAGTGTCATTTCGCCTATAGCTCGGCCAACCCCAAAATGCTCGCGTGAACCGAGGCTTGGGTGCGAAAATTCAACCCCAGTCAGAATCTAACCCTAAATCTGACTCCAGTTAAGTTTTATTTAAAGAGAGAGAAATGGTTGCAAGGCCTCCCCGGGTTCTGCACTTCCTTTCTCTTCTCTACTCTTAACTTTTCTTTTTCTAGACGAGTGGTCTGCAACTATAAGTTGTTAACAATTGATTGGGTGATGATGTTGACAATGAAAGTTTATATAGTAGAAAGATAGTAATTTTTATAAACAAAAAAAGGTCTTTGGTGGTTTTTTTGTTGTTGGTAGTTTGCTATCATCATTCAATTCTTGTTCTATTCTGGGTTCTTGATTTCTTGTTTGGCTTTTCTTGTTTTTGATGGGTTCTGAAGTGGGTGAGCAAGGATCACTAGTTTCTTTGTTTAATAGACACAAAGATGGAGTCTTTATACTCTTGAAAGACAAAAGTAGCTTCGATCAGTCCCCACGCCCTGTTCAAAACGCCGAAAGTTTTTCGGACGACTTCTCATGAACTTGTTTAGTCTTGTTTTTTCAATTCTCTGCAAAATTATTGCTGTCGATAAAGGATTCAAAGAAATTGTTGTACTTGGTTGACTGATTTACACCAGCCATGAAGAGGTCACTTGATAGCTCCGATTCATTGGGTGTTTTGATGTCCATCTGTCCAACCACTCCAGGTGTTTGTCAAAATTCCCCACAGACATTTTTTGGTTCAATTTTAATGCCGGGTTGTACTCTGGCAAGATCCCATCATGCCCAATGTTTTATTTTTCTTTCTAATTGCTTTGATTTGATTTTACAGGTGACCCAAATCAAGGGAGCGGCCATGTCTACTCGAGAGAGTTCCAGACGATGCTGGAGGGTCTTGATGAAGAAGGGTGCATAGACGAATCAGGGCATCTGATGACGGAGAAGAAGAGGCGTCTGAGTGTGGAACAGGTCAAGGCTCTCGAGAAGAACTTTGAGGTGGAGAACAAGCTCGAACCCGAACGGAAAGTGAAGCTGGCTCAAGAGCTGGGCTTGCAGCCGAGGCAGGTGGCGGTTTGGTTCCAGAACCGCCGCGCCCGGTGGAAGACAAAGCAGCTTGAGAGAGACTATGGTGTTCTCAAAGCCAACTATGATTCTCTTAAGCAAAAGTATGAAACCCTCCACCATGACAATGAAGCCCTCCTCAAAGAAGTAAGATTCAAATCACTGCTTCCCATGTTTTCCGGAGATTCTCTGAATCTATAATTTATGTTTTTTTTTTTACGAATTTCCCATGTACACATAGATCCGGGAACTGAAAGCCAAGCTGGTTGGAGAAAGTGGGGGGAACGTGGTTATGGTGAAGGAAGAGGCGGTGGAATCAGAGAGCGAAGAACTGGAAAGGAAGAACGCAGAACAGAGGGACCAAGAAACAGAGTTCAATAACCTTCAAGACTGCTCCAATGGAGGGCTGATTTCATTCGCGGATCTCAAAGACGGGTCATCAGACAGCAGCGATTCGAGCGCGATCCTCAACGAGGAAAACAGCCCAAACGCGGCTGCGGCCATTTCTTGCTCAGGGGCCTTCTTGATGATGCCTAATGGCTGCGGGTCTCCTTCCTCTCTGTCTCGCTTCAACCAGAACCCGGTGGTGGTCAGGGATGAGGTGTGCAGGAAGGCGTATCAGCCGCCCCCGGCTCAGGTGGTGAAGATAGAGGAGTATAACTTCTTTGGCGGCGGCAGTGGCGGCGAGGAAGCGTGCAGTAGTTTGTTCTCAGACGAGCAAGCCCCGATACTCCATTGGTACTCCCCGGAGGACTGGAATTGAACTGGAACAAGTGTTCATCATGAATCGAAGAACAAATAAATAGAAAAAAAAAGTTTTTTTTTTTTTTGAATTTGTAAAAAGCTGAAATGAATATATGATCTTCTTCTTCATTATCATCATCATCTATCACTACATTACAGCAATCATGTGAATCGTTGCGGATCACCACGCCCGTGTTTAGGTATGATCACCATGGTTTTTATGACAATTGGATTTCAATATCCAATTGACATTGATTCTAATTGGAGCAATTAAGGTGCTCCATTTGTAGAATTGTTGGGTCTTATTCCCTTCAATCATTGGTAAATCATTCACTCCGTTTCAATCAGAATTCACCTCACCCCAATTGTATCTCTAAATTTGGTTGATTCCAAAATCAAATACATTTGAAAGGCGAAATTTGGATGATTCCAAAAGCAATTACATTTGGAAGGAGCGTTTAAATGGGGTGAGTTCGGTTCGGAATGAAGTAGGATTTGTTTTTTATTTTTTGCACTTAAAACACACACACCTTTCATTACCAACCATACTCTTTAATAGTTTACACAAACAGTTTCAAAAATAAAACAGACCCCCCCTTCCTCTATATTTCTTTCATATATACTCCGTATGAAGTAGCTAGTAATATAGAAATGAACCAAATTTTCAGCATTCCCCACTGTACAACCGAAAGAGCTAGGATCATCGTCCTTTTCTTCCTCTCCTTAGTCTTCTGCAAAACAAACGAAAGTGCTGCGGAAATAAAAGAGAGAAGACAAAGAACACATCAATATATACTAGTTCACCACCTCGCGGCTAGTCCAGTTCCCCGAGAGACTCTCTCGAAGCTACCACTACTTATCAAACTTCAACGGGTGCTTGACAAACCCTTTTACAAACCGAAAACTTAAATCCCACAAGCCTCAAAACAACCGCTCGTAGATGTGCCCTCTACAAGACTTCACACCCAAGACTTAAGTCATAAGTCTTGTACAACAAGAAGAATAACCTTTTCAACCTCACAACAATAGCTCTCACAAGAGTAGTAACGTGAAAAGATATAAGATCTATGGATGACAAGAACACTCTCTTGAAAACAAATACTCCATCCGTCCGGAAATGTTCTTCCCATTTGACTTTTTACAGTCTCCAAGATTACACTTTGACCAATAATATCTTTATTTATACATGGATATATTTTATAAAAATTTGATATTTGAAAACTATATTTTAAAATGAATATATTCATATTAAAGTTATATCCTTATACAATGTATTTTTTCCACATATCGTAGTCAAAGTTTATAAACTTTGACCACGAAAAGTCAAATGGGAAAAATATTTCCGGACGGAGGGAGTAGTTTTCTATCAAAAAATATGAATTTGAGGAGGGATTAAATGGAGGATTATAACCTCAAGAATGGGGTGTTTAAGGAGTGTTTCTTGTTTTAAAAAATGACCAAGGAATGATGTTTAAATAGGGGTTGATGGAATATATCCATTGGTACAAGAAAAAAGAGTAGGAACGATTACTTCATTCAGTCCCAACACAATAATCGATTATTTAGGTTGCAATAATCGATTAATTCATTCTGTCTAGAATTCCTTCAGTCCCAACACAATAATCGATTATTTAGGTTGCAATAATCGATTAATTCATTCTGTCTAGAATTCCTTCAGTGGACGAAATGATAATTGATTGTTTCTAAAGGGTAATGATCGATTATTTAGGCAGTAAAGCCCAAACATGAAGAACACAAGCATGTGTGCGAGGAGAAGTGCTATTTTTGCTTTATGGCCTTGTATGGGACAAGAGGATCAGATGAAGAGGCTCCCCAAATGAGATAAGATAATTCAAATTTGAATTCTCAGAATGAATTTTTGGTATAGAAATTGAGTCCTAAAAATATTTTGTGTCAAACAATGTATAAGAAAAATATTTGTATAAAATATTTTTGCATACCAAAAATATTTTCTAATATCAAAATAAGTATTTTGATAAATGTTTGACATACCTTTTGTAACTGAGTCAATAAAAGTATTTTTGAACAGTTCAAAAAGATTTTTCAACTGATTCTAAAAATAAATATAAATTATTTTTTGAAAAGAGGATTATTTTTGTCATCATTACAATATTTCCTAAGACTCAAATAAATTAAAAAGTCTTTGAAAATATTTTACTCCTCCGCTTGGCGCTCTGAACGCGTCTTGGTCTCCATTTTAAATCCTGTGCTCCTTGAATATTCCAAGAGATTTGGGACTTCAAGTCTTTGTGTTTGTCAATGTAGCACTTTATTCTTGACTTGAATAACTTGTGTTTGTCAATTATCAAAACCCGTGAGTCAACATTTAACAATACAAAAAAGGCTAAACTCATGCATTCCGACACCAACCTTTCCTGCTTTGTCAACTGAAGTTGGAACTCAAATTTGCCAAAGCTAGCTTTATACACTTGTGCAAAGGTGCAGATAGTATATATAGGGAGGTATTTATTTATCCTAACTTTGGTTTGAAGTCCTCCTCTCATGAACAACCACGCAATATATTAGAATTTGGAGGAGTGGTCCTTCTTATCAGCAATATCCCAGCTCAACTTCATTATAGTTGCTTTATTCTAGTTGAGGGCATTTTTAATGCCCAAACCCCCATATTTCTTTGTGTGGCAGACCTCCTCCCATTTAATCAAATGCACTTTCTTGTAGTCATGAGAACTTCCTCAAAGAAAGTTTCTACAAATGGCCATTACCCTCTTCAAACCAGTAGCCTGATTGAAGTTCTCCAAAACTCTCATGATACATGCAATATATAGCTCATCAGCTTTACCAACAACTATAATCAGAAAATTAAAGCAAATATTTATAATCTTCAAAGCACCACACATAGGTTGAAAAACAAATTTATCCTTAACCACTGCATAGTCAGGTATTGTCTTAAACCTTAGCCCCTTTAAAATACCCATACTGGCCACAATTGATATTAAGGGTGTATGAAGGGGTGGTAATGCAGAACAATTGATGAATTGTTCAAGAAAATTAAGACTAAGTAATATACCTCTAATAGCCTCCCAATTGATAGAGTCATAGGACTTCTGGATATCCAACTTCATCATGCACCTTGGAGAACAATTTTTTCGAGTGTACCTTTTAGCTATCTCCTGACACGTAAGGACATTATGTATAAGCTCTCTTCCTTGAACAAAAGCTCCTTGATTCAGATCAATGATCTGTGACAACACCTCCTTTAGTCTCATGCATATGAGCTTAGAAATTATCTTGTATATGGTATTGGAGCATGTAATTGGCTACAAGGTAATAGGGATAAACCTGTTTGGAGGCATTGAGCCTGGAATAAATTTACCCCTCCCAAATTCAGACTCATCATTTTGTTATTCTGGAGAAGGAAACTGCAAACTAAAGTGAGGATTGATAAATTCTTGAGCATAAACACCAAATGTGAGTTGTGTGGAAGAGCAACTGAGACACATGATCATCTAGTTTGGGGGTGTGATAAGGATAAATCAATTGGGCAGGCCATCATGAAAGAATTCAGATGTTCTTTGGACTGCAACTGATCTAAAGGTGAGTTTGGAGTGGAAATACTGAAGGTAAAGGGAGGAAAACAGAGGAAAATGGTTATAGCAATGCGGGCAACATCTGTTTACTTCATTTGGAAATGGAGGAATGACTTGTGGCATTAGAAGAACATAGACTTAGAAGAGATCCAGATCAAGCTATCCATTACATTAGGAGTTATTTTAATTATATGAGAATTATGTAATTAATATATGTAGCTTTGGCAGAGGCTTGTATGAAGGATGTATATGAATATTCGAAGTGGTAATGAAATCTTGTGATTTATGTGCAAAAAGAGAAGAAATATAATAACAATACAATAAGAAAGTAATGTAATAAGGAAGGTAATAAATAATAATATTTCATTTTTTAATACATTTATTATTTTTAATAGAAAGTCCAAAAAATGTGAAACTTAAATACACGGTAACAACACTCAAACAAGACATTTAGGGCATTCTTTGAGAGTCTTAAGAGAGTCTAAAGGAAAGTCTTAAGACTATCTTCTCTAGATTTTGTCAATAGGTGCACATAAAATAGGAAAATGTAGAAGGGAGTCTTTGAATTTCCAGACTTACTCTCAAGATTTCCAAATCAGGCATTCAATAAAAGTCAGACACATGTAATCAATAATTTTTTTTTAAAATAAAAATTAATTACATTTATTTTGTGAAAAAAAACCAATCCTCCCCAGTTTAAAAACCCAATGTCTACTTATACAATTTTTAGTAGGTTATGCTCTTACTTTTAGTTATTTTTTATTTTGTTAAAGATCCACTAAAAATGAATCCATTATAAATGTTAACTAAATTAATTTTAATTTGTTGTGTTTTTAATTTTATTTTATGCAATTTATTTTTATATGTGTTTACCTAAATAATTATAATGAAATGCACTCATTTTATTTTATGTATTTTATGTGTGTTAATTGTTTTTTCCACGTGGAAAAATAAATTTAGAATTTACATGACACTAAATGATATATAGTAATACTTTAAAGTAAAATATAGTAATTATACTACTCCCTCTATCTCGATTAAATGGCATGTACACTATTCACATAATCAAGTTTTATTTTCAATATCTTTATTTATTACTCCCTCAATCCTTTAAAACATTCCAAATTTTAGTTCTTATCCCTCTCATAAAATATTTCAATTTCATCTAAATGAACACAATTTTCCTTACTTTTCTTAAAGCTAACCAAACGTATCTCAACTACCTTCTACGCTTTACTAGTTTTTTATATTTCTCGAGCCCAACTTGTTTCAATTGTCGTCATTTGGCCTTGGTCAAACTTCTATATCTTCTCTTTCCAAAAGTTAAAACCAGAAAAGTTTTCCAGGACGGAGGGAGTATATATTATAGTTACAATAGTATTAATAATAGTAATAGTAATAATAAAAATGTTAAGAACAACAAAAATAACAATTATAATAAGAATGATATGTAAAATACATTTAAATAGGTTTTTTAAGTTTCTTCCAGTTTTTCTACTTTCTTCTTGGTTTTTCCAATTCTTCCATTTGTTTCAAATTTCTTAATGTTTTTCCATTTTAATTTCTTCTAGTTTTTTCAGTTTCTTCAAGTTCTTTTTTTCATTTTCTTCTAGTTTTTTCCAACATCTAGCGCTCTTTTCAGCCCTTAAGAACATGCTCTAAGTCGTTTAAGACCAAAACAAGAGTTTACACTATCACACTTACCAAATTGTCACATTATTACTACCATCCGTCACCGCTGGCCACCAGAGTAGTGTCGCCAAACACCGACATTAACTAGTGGTGCGACGGCGGTTCACTGGTCACACTGCCATATTACATTGTCAGAATTTTTCCACCACAATGTCACCACTCTCACATCACAATATCTTTACTCTTATTTTGTCCTTAAAAGACTTAGAACTCCTATCTAAGTATTTTCATAGTTTTTTACTCATATTTAGGAATATTTTTTTTGCGAATTAGCTAGGCTAGTGCTTACGTTACCAAATTGCAATTTGGAGCTTCTTCTTTCCGTATGATTTGATTGAATCCGATCTGATTTTTTTAAAGTTTGATCTGTTAAAATTTATATATGAAGTTGTTTCTAGAGTAAATTTCCAAAATGGACTTTTTTGTAATAAGGTATTTTTCTAATTCAGTTCTCAATAAGTTCTAATTACATACGTGGTCTTTTATAACTAGGATTTATTTCTTTAGAAGTCCTTAGTAAATACTACATCCGTCCCAGAGTATTTGTCCACTTTCATTTTTACACACCATCCAATACACTTCTTTAATCCATTTTATCTTGTAATTTGTATATTAAAAAATTATAGAAATTATATATTAATAATCTATATGTTAAGACAAATCAAACAAGATCACACATGACTATATTTAGGCTTACACATTGAGAGAATTTGATGAGTCAAAGTGCTTTGATGAACAGTTCCAAAAGTCAAAACTGGNTTCTTTAGAAGTCCTTAGTAAATACTACATCCGTCCCAGAGTATTTGTCCACTTTCATTTTTACACACCATCCAATACACTTCTTTAATCCATTTTATCTTGTAATTTGTATATTAAAAAATTATAGAAATTATATATTAATAATCTATATGTTAAGACAAATCAAACAAGATCACACATGACTATATTTAGGCTTACACATTGAGAGAATTTGATGAGTCAAAGTGCTTTGATGAACAGTTCCAAAAGTCAAAACTGGACGAATACTCCGGGACGGAGGGAGTAATTATATTTAAATGATGATTTAAAGGGTACATTGGTATTTTTATCTTTTCAATTTAAAGTATATTCTCAAAACGGTCATTTTTATACAATTAAATGAAAATTAAAACAATACATTAACTATACATAATCCATGAATTATTAAAAACCTATAAAAAAATTTAAAATTCGAATCAAATACACATCTTCAATTAAAAAAAATCATTTCGGGAAAGCACTTCATTAAAAATAATCATTTTAAGAACTCAATCTAAATTTAGCTGATAAAAACACCAAAATACCTTAAATTAATCATCATTTGAATAACATTATTTATGAAGGAGTACTTAGGGAATAAATTTCAATTATAGAGGACTGCGTAAGTAATTAAAACTTATTGAAAATTTATTTAGGGAAAGCACCTTATTAGAGAGACTCATTTGGGAAATTTACTCTTGTTTCTAATGTGATATGGTCTGATTTGATCTAGTTTGATTTGATTCAAATAGGAATAACTAATACTCATTCTGTCTCAAAATGATTTACCCTTTTACTATTTTGTCTCAAAATGATTTACCGTTTTACTACTACTCATTTGATAAAATAAAATTTTCTTGTCACACGTTGTTTTGTAAGACTTGTGATGTAGATTTTAGATATTTAATTTGTTCTTTTTATTTATATAAAAATTTTTTGATAAAATTATTTTAAAATTATGAAATTTTATACATTTTTTGATGAGTGTAAATGAGTTTACGACTGAGAGATAGAATAAACAATAAAAATAAGTTGAAGAGAACAAGAAGTAATGCTTACATGATGCCAATGTTCATATTTAAATTTTGGACCTTCTCATATTTTTCATGGACTTGCATGTTGATGTTTTGTTTTTTATAAAAAGCTCACTTATTTTATGTTACAAATACACTAAAATCCAAAAAATGAGCATGGACCTTAAGTCTATGAAAGAATTTCCCAAGAACATGTTGTTTGCCTTTATTTTATTTTTTGAACGAAGAGCTAGAAGAAATCCATTCACAATAAGGAAAATGAGATTTGTCCACAAACAATTGTATCCTACTTTGTACTCTGAAGACATGCACCAACGTTGTTTTGTGATGCTTTACAATGACACAAAATGTCAGCGCAATTTTTTTTAAAAAAAACTAACATTTTGTGTGAGTATGAATCACTAAAATACCAGTGCATCCCTCTAGAGTAAAATTTAGAATACACTTCTTGGTGTACTTTTGGCATGGTTGTTACAGTACTTGTTAAAAAATAACTCTTCCATTTTTTCGTGTTGGAAGATGGTAAAGTCTCTTTATATTGGGAAACATGAGATTACTACTACTAATTGTCATTTCTCTAGCTAGATATTACGGAGTAATATGTTGCACCAAATTAAAGTGTGGTGGATGCACGAGTGGTGGACACACATCACCCCAAAAAAAAGCCATATTTTTTTTTAAAGGTTGATGGGGATTGATGGCTCGTTGATTGGCATGAAGATTGCCCCCACATCACATGCACCCACCTGGTCCTTTGTTTTGTGTGGATCCCATTAAAAAGTAGGGGCCGACTGCACTGCACACCTTTAATGTCTTCTCCCATCTGCAAGACGCAGACGCTATCCCACTGGCCATGGCAAAATGGAGCTCGAAGAACTAAAAAAGCAAGTGGAATCTCCTTTCGTCTCCCACCAAATCGCCGTGCAATGCTAGCAAGTACGTACACCATGCATGGCCGCCAAATATTATGTTTAGGCCTTAGCCATCTCCTAGTTTTGTTTGGGCCTTATATATGAGGTGACCTTTTGATTATACTCCTCCGTCCCCTATTAGAGTTCCACATTTAAACGAGTATACGGAAATTAAGAAAAAAATAAAACTATATGGTTGCATGATGATAAAGACACGTTCGTAGAGCATGAGGAGGAAGCTACGGTCGTACCTCGCCCACGTCGTACTACCCGACGACCCAAGCGTTATGACGACTATGTTTAATATTATTATTGTTTCTTAATTCATTAAATCATTTCTTGTATTTAGATTTTGTTAGGTGGGCAAAATATAAGCTCCTTCAAGGATTTTCTTTTCGGTTACGTTCTTTCCCTTGACGCCTTTCTTGAACCGACAGGTTAGATCACGTAGTTTCTAGGTCGAGGGACTCTTTGCCTATATATACAAAGACTCCTCAAGCTTTGACAGTTAATAAAGAAATACTTTTCCCCTCAAACTCTTTTTCTCTCTCTCTTCCCTAAAACCCTAACCTCCCAGCCGTGCCTTTCCCTCGTGCGCCACCATCTCGGCGGCTCTAGGGCTTGCAGGGCGGTATCATTGGTGCTCTCATTGCCGTTCTCAATGTCGACGTCTCCCCCTTTGTCCGATGTTCCCACCCCGTCTCTCAAACTCGAAGACCTCATGCATGCAATTACCAATCTTGGGAATGAGTTGCAGGCTACACGGACGCAGCAGGCTGCATGCCATGGCGCGTCGGCTCAATGAGATCGCGCCGGACGTTTCCCCCGGGGTCTACTAGCGTCCTCCCGATCTGGGCAGGCGTCCCCCACCGTTACGCATGCCTCCTCCTCACCCTAGCTCCGACCCGGTGCCTCGTATGCGGGTTGACGCTCCACGGTTCTCGGGGGAGGATCGTACAGGTTGCCTTTTCCGCGTGCAAAAATACTTTGATTATTTTTCTACCCCGGAGGATGAACGTTTTCATCTCGTCGCCATGTTGATTGATCACCCCACGTCGGAATGGTTCCGATACTATCAAGCTAATAATTGTGATGCTTCCTGGCCGGCCTTTTTAACAGTGGTCCAACAGCGTTTCGACCCCGACTATTATGAGAATTATATTGGGCTCCTCTCCAAATTGCAGCAGACTGCAACCGTTATGGATTATCAGTCGGCGTTCGAGACACTCCTCAATAAAGTCACAGGGGTGCTGGAAACAACCCTTATTGCCATGTATATTGCAGGTCTCAAGCAGCCGGTTCAACGCGAGGTTAAATTAAAGAGTCCGACGACATTGCAAGCTACGTTTGCCTTGGCCAGGGAGTTGTCGGCATGCCACCAGGAAGCCCATCCGTTCGGTTCGTCACGTCGGGTCTGGGCCTCTCGTCCCTCGAATGCAGCTTCCACAGGGAGTCCTACCCCCCTGCCACTGCCCAGTCGGCCTACCCCCCAAGCCCCTCGTTCGACGGATGGGCACCCACCCCCCCCCCAACTGCGTATTGTTCGCCTTACCACGTCGGAGAAAGCAGAGCGTTCTAAGAAGGGGCTCTGTTGGTACTGTGATGAGCGTTGGATTCAAGGGCACCAGTGCAAGCGCCGGTTCCTCGTTTTTATGGGTCCGGATGAGGATGAGGACCATGGGGAGTCCAGCGAGCAGAACAGCGGCACTTGCGACGAGGCATTAATCACCGCGGACATCTCTAGTATGCATTTCTTGGCGGGCAGTCCTAGTCCTCGTTCATTGAAATTGATGGGATCCGTACACGGCGCGCCGGTTCAGGTGCTCTTGGATGGCGGGAGCACGCACAATTTTATTCACCCGGCGGTGGTCGAGCGTCTGACTTTGGTTCTTCACCCGGTGGCCCCCTTTCGGGTCTACGTGGGCAACAGTGATTCATTGCGTTGCTCTTATTCCTGCCCGCAAACTCCTCTCACCATGCAAGGCCATGTCTTCGACGTCGACCTTTTTCTCTTGGAAATCCACGGCCCAGACATCGTGCTCGGTGTCCAGTGGTTGCAAACGTTGGGTAAAGTGGCTCATGATTATGCCAACTTGATGATGGAGTTCGTATGAAACGGCGCCACGGTGACTCTACGGGGGGATAGTCACGTTCCTCGGGCCGTCTCTTATTCCCATCTATGGGCCTTAACTACACATGGTTCTCCACTGGAATTTTATGAGGTCATTCCCACCCTTGTGGAACCAGCCGTCCCCACAGAAGTTAGCAGCTCCTTTCCAACAGACCTGCCTCCCTCCATCCGCCATGTTTTGACGACCCATGCTTCGGTCTTCAGTGTTCCCTCGGGTCTGCCGCCACCACGTGCCTGGGATCATCGCATTCACCTGGAGCCTGAGAGTAAACCGATAAATGTTTGCCCATACCGCTACCCTTATTTTCAAAAGATAGAGATAGAACGGCAGGTTCAGGAGATGATGGAACATGGGCTTATTCGGCATAGTACCAGCCCGTTTTCTTCACCGGTCCTCTTGGTGCGTAAAAAAGATGGAGGGTACCGTTTTTGCATCGACTACCGTGCTCTAAACGCTGCAATTGTACCTGACCACTTTCCGATCCCCACAGCGGAGGAGCTCTTTGATGAACTCGGTAGTGCACGCTTCTTTACAAAATTAGACCTCCGATCCGGCTACCACCAGATACGAATGCATGACTCGGATGTGTTCAAGACGGCATTCCGTACTCACGATGGCCACTATGAGTTTCTAGTCATGCCGTTTGGTCTCACCAACGCTTCCTCCACCCTCCAGGCGGCCATGAATATCATTTTCCGGGACTATCTACGGAAGTTTGTGATCGTGTTCTTTGATGATATCCTTGTCTACAGCTCTTCCCTGGACTCCCATACCACTCACCTCGCTACTGTCCTACAAATTTTGGCCAGCAGTTGCTTTTACATCAAATTGTCCAAATGCTCCTCCTGTCAGCAAACGATTGGGTACCTGGGGCATTTGATCACAACTAGGGTTCTTAAGCCAGACCCGGATAAAGTGGCGGCCATGGTCGCGTGGCCTACACCGCGGACAGTGACTAAGTTGCGGGGGTTCTTAGGCTTAACCGAGTATTATCGTCGGTTTATCAAAGGGTATGCCATCATCACCGCTCCACTCACCGCCTTCCTCAAGGACTCTTTTCTCTAGGACGCAGGAGCCGCGGACAGTTTCCAGCACCTCAAGGATGCCATGACCACGGCACCCGTCTTACGCCTTCCGGATTTCGCCCAAACCTTCTGTGTGGAAACGGATGCGTGTGATACCGGCATCGGCGCCGTCCTCCTACAGAATGGTCACCCCCTTGCGTTTTTTAGCAAGAAGTTGGGGCCGCGGCGGCGCTCGGGGTCGACCTATCACAAGGAACTCTATGCAATTGTTTCGGCAATCCAAAAATGGCGCCAATATTTATTGGGTCGGGAATTCGTGATCCAGAGTGATCAACGCAGCCTTAAAGAACTCCTCTCGCAGGTCATCCAAACCCCGAAGCAATAATTCTACATCCAAAAACTGATGGGGTTTAAGTTCCGCATAGAATACAAGTCGGGCGCGTCAAACCGTGCCGCTGATGCTCTCTCTCGGCGCGAGAATGACACTCATGAACTGGAGCTGTTCAATTCTTATGCTCAACCAATTCCTAAGTTATGCACAGCCATCCGGACAGCCTAGTTGGAATGCCCAATTCTTCAGCGCCTTCACGCGGTAGTACGCGTAGGGACTGCCCCACCGGACATCTCCATCCACAACGGCATCCTCTACTACAAATTGTGCATCTACGTTCCCGCCTCCTCCCCAATCTGTGAGCAACTCCTCCACGAATTTCATAGCACCCCTTTAGCCGGACATCAAGGGGTGGAGCGCACCTTCCGCCGGTTGGCCGCTGTTTTCTACTGGACCAACATGCGTGGCTCCGTACGCAACTTTGTGGCTTCTTGCACGGTCTGCCAAACCACGAAGTACCTTACACAAAAGCCAGCAGGTCTGCTCCAGCCTCTCCCCATTCCCAACCGCGTTTGGTAGGCCGTGTCCATGGATTTCATCACGGGGCTGCCTTCGTCGCGTGGGTTCACGGTTATTATGGTTGTTGTTGATCGCTTGACGAAATACGCCCATTTTGGTGGTCTGCCAACGGGTTATGACGCCCCTCGGGTTGCCCACTTATTCCTTGATACGGTGGTTAAGCATAACGAGTTCCCTTCTTCGATCGTGTCTGACAGAGACTCGGTTTTCATGAGTATTTTTTGGAAAGAATTGATGTGTTTAAGTGGCACCACGCTCCAATTCAGCACCGCTTATCATCCGCAGACGGACGGCCAGACTGAGGTCGCCAATCGCGGCCTCGAACAATACTTGCGGGCCTTTACGTTTGAGCGGCCGGCCAAGTGGGCTGTTTTCCTACCGTGGGCAGAGTTGGCGCTAAATTGCAGCCATCATGAAGGCCTCGACATGTCTCCGTTTTAGGCCCTCTATGGCCGCGAGCCTCCAAACCTGTTTGCCACAATGTCGATCCGCTCCCGTAGTCCGGCGGTTGAAGAGCTGTTACGGGAACGCGCCGATTTACTACAAGACTTGAAGACCAACCTCACCAAGATGCAACACCGGATGCGCGCCCAGGCTAACCGACATCGTCGAGACGTTACCTTCCAGCCGGGTGACCTGGTTTTACTTAAGCTCCAACCGTACCGCCAGCACTCGGTCGCCCGTCCAGGGTCTCAGAAGCTGTCCCGCCGCTACTATGGTCCCTTTCAGGTTATCGAACGAATTGGGGCTGTGGCTTATCGTTTGCGTCTCCCGGAAGGCTGCCGCATCCATGATGTCGTCCATGTGTCCCTCCTTCATCCCTTCATCCAGCGCGGCAGTACGATTTCCGAACCATCCCTTCCCGCGGATTTCTACAAGAGTCGCCCAGATGTCACGCCTGTCTCTGTTGTCCGCCGCCGCATAGTTTTGGTTGATGGTCATCCCCAGGAACAATGGCTAGTGCAATGGTCGACGGGCTCCACTCCTGATGCAACGTGGGAGCCCGTCCAGGAGCTTCGACGACATTTCCCCAACCTCGCCCTTGAGGACAAGGACGTTTCTAAGGCGGGGGGAGTTGATACAGACACGTTCGTAGAGCATGAGGAGGAAGCTACGGTCGTACCTCGCCCACGTCGTACTACCCGACGACCCAAGCGTTATGACGACTATGATTAATATTATTATTGTTTCTTAATTCATTAAATCATTTCTTGTATTTAGATTTTGTTAGGTGGGCAAAATATAAGCCCCTTCAAGGGTTTTCTTTTCGGCTCTTTCCCTTGACGCCTTTCTTGAACCGACAGGTTAGATCACGTAGGGACCCTTTGCCTATATATACAAAGACTCCTCAAGCTTTGACAGTTAATAAAGAAATACTTTTCCCCTCAAACTCTTTTTCTCTCTCTCTTCCCTAAAACCCTAACCTCCCAGCCGTGCCTTTCCCTCGTGCGCCACCATCTCGGCGGCTCTAGGGCTTGTAGGGAGGTATCACATGAAAATGATGCAGAAGAAAGAGAAGTCGATATAAGCTACAAAGAGTTCATCTGGATTGGAAAGTAAGATGTTATTTTGAGAAGGATAAAAACAGCATTGTGAAATATATTATGGGACAAAGGGTGTGATGACGTAAATTTAACCATGACAGCTGGCCAGACAAGAATTAGTTGACCGGTTAGGTAAAACAAATTTAGTTTTTTGAATTTATTTTTTTGAAATATTATATAAAAAATTAATTAATGTTGCAAAAAAGAAAAACTTTTAGAAGTAAAATATATAGTTAATAAATATATAGTTAATAAAATTTTCTTATTTGTTAGAAATAATAAAATAAAATGAATGGTGAATTCTTTTCAAAAATATATAAATTTTAGTTTTTTAATTAATAAAGTTATAATACTTTTCTTTGATCGAATAATCATATAATTATGCATATTTAAAAATATGTTATCATGAAAAATATATTTTTCTAATATTTAAAAAGTGAAGAGTTTAATAGAAAATAATAAACATAATGATTATTATAAAAAGTAAATGATTTTATAACCACTTAATAAAGATAACGGTGATTTAATGTTAGAAAGTGAATGTTTTTAACATATGAATAAAATTAATACTTATTTAATGTAAAAATAAGAATGCACACCTTGCAATACATGTGTCATGGTGTGCAAGGCTAGCGTGAAAAGTTTATACAAAATTAATGGTCATTGATTAAGTATTAATGAAAATTATTTTTATTAAAAAAAAGAAATGTCAAATGAACAAATTACATAATGCAATGTCATTAGAAAGTCCATATGCGGCATATGTCACATGTCATCCTTCATTTAAACAAACTTTTCTTTCTTTCGCTTGTTGAAAAATATATAATAAAATAATTATTGTATGAAATTAGTTTTGTTCTAAATAAAAATGCATATAGCATAAACTTTATATAATTCTAATAGTTCTATTGAGAAAAATTAAAATAAAATAAATAGTGAATAGTTTTAAAAATCATACATAATGTTGCTTTTTAGTTATTGAAATTTATATATTCTTATGTTATAATAATTGTGCATTTTGAAAAAACATATTATTATAATTAAATAGATATTTTCTAAAATTTTCAAAAGTGATGTGTCCATAAATAATTAATTACAATAATGGTTGTTTAGTGTTAGAAAGTGAAAGAGTTATAAAATTTTAATAAAAAATTAAGGTTATTTAATGCTAGAAAATGGAAGGGGTTTATAAAAAGGGATAAAAAAAACCAAAATAGCACTGCCAAAAAATATTTCATTAAACAGCAAACATTCATTACACACTGCCAAAAAATATGATTATTTTGGGTAGTGTGGTTGTTCACTTGTAACTGTGTGTAGTGGACAGTGTAGTGTTTATATGTGAGTATTTAATGTGCCAGTGTAGAATATATGTTGTTATATCTTACAACAACAGTGTGTAAGTGTATTATTGTGTTCCTTAATTTCATGTTGGAGTGTAATATCCATTGATTTATGTGGCAATGTTTTCATGTATAGATTCTACAGTGTCAAAAAGTGTATGACTATTTTCATGTATGAATTCCGCACTGCTCAAAAAATGTATAACTCTTTTTATGTATGAATTCCACATTATTTTCATGTATGAATTGCACACTTCCAAAATGTGTAGGCCAAACATGGACATTAAACATGGAACTTAATTTAATACGTACGAATTTTTTAGGCATTATACATTTGTAAACTGCGTAGGAGGAAGATCTCGCATAACTATGGTAAACGACGTAGGATCATGTTCTCGTACGTAAGAGACACAAGAATGAGGAGGAGCTGCATGTATGAGGAGGAGTGGCTACGTGATTAACTTAAGTTTAATCAAATAATTAAAAGTAATTAAAAATAGTAGAATATAATAAAAAGTAGAGGGTATGCTTTGAAGATATTGACACTAAAAATAACTAAATTTATATAAAAGATTAAGGAGTGCTATATGTGTAATATTGAGTGATTTAGAGTGCTACGTAGGGCGATTTCTTTTATAAAAATTTAATAAAAATAAATACGCACTTGTGGCATCACATGTGGTATGGTGTGCACATTTGACCTGAAAAATTTTATACAAAATAAATGGTCAATTAAAAAATTTTAAAAAACAAATTTCAAATGAATCAATTAAGTAATGATACATAGTTAAAAAATACAAATATGACATACATCGCATATCATCTTTCAACTCTAACTTTGTTTTATTTAGTTTGTTGAAAAAATATACGCCGTATACTATACTATACTTTGTAGTATGTAATAGGATAAAAAGTTTGAAATAACTTTAATTTGTACTTAATAAATATTTATATGTGATAAAAAAATTATAATACTATTTTGAAAATTTGATAATAATAATGTTCTTTTTATTCAACAATAATGGTTATTTAGTGTAAGAAAGTTAAGGTTTATAAAAATTTAATAAAAGTTATTTAATGTAAGAAAGTAAAGGTTTTTATAAAAAGTTAATAATAATAAATATATACATGTGCGACATGACATGTGGGGAGGTGTTGTGCCTGCATGACATAAACATTTTATACAAAATTAATGATCATCAAATAAAATAATAATGAAAGTTGTTTTAATTAATAAAAATTAAAATAAAAATCTCAAATAGATCAATTAAGGAATGACACATCATTAGATAATGCATATTTGTATGCACCACATGTAATCCTTCCATTAAACTTTTACTTTGTTTAGTTTGTTGAAAAATATATAATAAAATAAGTAATGTAATAAGAAAAACAACTAAAATATGTTATGAAGTTAATAAAGATGCACGTGTGATAAAATTTATATATAATTAGTTTTTTGTGGTGATGGATAATTTTAAAAATTATAAGAAACATTTTTTAATTAATAAATTATATATATATATATATATATATATATATATATATAAAATAGTCGTACATATTTTAAAAATATGTTAAAACAATGAATTTTTCTAACATAGTCAGAAAGTGAAAAGTTTATAAAAAGTTAATAAAAATAATAGTTTTTTATTGTTGGAAAGTGAAAAATTTATAAAAAATAAAAATAAGGATTATATTATTTAATACTCCCTCCGTCCCATAAAGATGAGTACGTTTTGACTAAAGTAGAAATTAAGGGAGGAGTAATTTTGTGTTGACTTTCCAAAAATACCCTTGATGTGATGTGTAAAAGTATGACGTGATATGTAGATTATTAGAAAAAAGGTATGATGTGATAGATAGGGTTTGAAAAAGTAAGGGATAAAAGTGGTTTATTAATAGAAATGTGTAAGAAATTGTGAGACACAATTTTTTTTAAACGTGTAAATCTTTTTGGGACGGAGGGAGTACAAAATTAACTATGCATGCATGGATGTACATGTGTCATGTGATTTACATGTGGCGTGACACATGTCAGTTGTATGCACGCGTGGCATGACACATGCCGTCACCACAATTTTGGAATTCTCTTTATGTGTGTGTGCGTGTGTGTATAGAGGATATATTTAAGGAGAATTTACCTAAATAAGACTAAACATAATGACTTTCTAAATATAGGACCATATATTTTTATTTCTCAATGTAAGACCATCGGTCATTATCTATTAGTCATTATTTGAGTAAATGTATACCATCAGTGGACATTTTTTTCTCACTAGACATTATTAATTACTATTTAGGGAATAAAAAAGTTTAAGTCTTATATTGGAAAATGACTTATGTTTTAATCATGTTTAGTTTATATTTTACTATGTTTAACAGTTTTAACTTCAATCACATTTAAAGAAAAAAGTTTCAAAATGTTTTTTTTTTCGAATTCAAAAACTTTTAAACAAATGGAATAAGAATATTACATTCAAACCAAATACAAATCTAAATATGAGTACGTGTCAACAAATTTGAATACCAATAATAATGATATATTGTGGAATGTAAACCCATTGAAATTGAATCAAGAAACTAGCTGTACTTTTTAAATTTTAATCCATGTGACAACATACCAAAACTTTAGGAGTACAAGACATCCACTCGTTCGGGATCACATGTTTCTGTTTTAAATTTTTAATTAGTGTTTTTTGAGTTAACCAAATGTGGTGGGGGGTTAATGGTTTTGGATCCTTTAATATTGATTGGATCAGCACCTTCCATATGGAGTATGTAGCAATATTTAGCTTAAACATCCAAATTGACAATTCGAGACAAACGACTAATCCAGCATCTAAAATAGTAAAATGGACCCGATTCATCGTTACGTAGGGGGGTGGGGGTGGGGGTGGGGGGGGGACATCGAAAGGACTGAAACGGATGAATTTAAAAGTAGCACTATTGAGTGTGTGACTAGCTACTGGAGTACAACGTAAACAAGTTTGTTTGTTTGTTTATTCATCGGCGGGCGGCTCCCATGTGATGCTGACTCACAACCTCTCTCTCTCCCCTTACCCATTCCAATAGTCTAAGACAACTTGCGGGCCGGCCTCTTAAATTTCGACTAACCAAACATGTCGGCCTTCATATAAATCACCACTCCCGTCCCGCCGCCCAAACGTTAAAAGAACATGAAGAACTTAGCATTCAACATCACCGAGACTCCCTTAGCATTAAATTATATTAG